TTACTTTATTAATGGGAAGGCTGAGGTTCCCAGATGTAGATAATAAAAAAATAAACACGAAAAAGGATTTTTTAGTCAAGTAAAGAAGGCATGGTGGATAACAGCCACTGGGATCTCAAGCACTTAACAATGCATCTCATTGGCAAAATAAGTACTATTGTAATCCCATTTTCACAGATAAAAGAATCAAGGCTATAAAGTAACTTACCCAAGATCATAAAGCTTTTAAATCAGAGTGAAGACTTTAACGCAATTTGTCTGATGTCTACTTCTGTGCTTTGATCTGATACCAGACAATACAGAATGCTTCTGATAATGCTATCGCCAATGGCCACAATCACTGTTCAAGCAGTCCACAATTGCTATTTTGACAAAGAAAAAGCATAGAATAGTTGTTTATTCTCCGTTAGCCAATGCTTCTACATATCTCAGCTGATCTAGACTGCTGGTGGAAAATGGGTTTTGTAGGAATGTTTCATGGTTCTCCAGAAGAAGCAGTATTTAGTCATCATCTACATCTACAATTTATCAGTTTTTCATCCAACATTTAGGAACCCAGTGGAAAAAAGGAGAATAACTCGTTTCTTGATTTACCAAGAAACTACTTGAGAGTCTGACACTATGGTTTAATTTGTTTGCATTTTTAGCTCTTAAACTAAAGAACTCTTGCAGCAAATTATTTAAAATGCAGATCTTAGACTCTATCCTAAGTGATCCTGATTCACTAGGTCTACAGTAGAGTCTAGGAATCTGCATTTCTGAAGCTCTAAAAATATAATAGGCAAAGCAGTTCTTGAGAAAGAAGAAAAAAGCTGGAGCTATCACATTCCCTGATTTCAAACTGTACTACAAAGCTATAGTAATCAAAACAGTATGGCATAAAAACACACATGGATCAATGAAACAGAATAGAGAGCCAAGAAATAAACCCACACATGTATGGTCAATTAATTTATGATAAATGAGGCATGAATATACAATGGGGAAAGGACAGTCTCTTCAATAAAGGGTGTTGGGAAAACTGGACAGCCACATGCAAAAGAAGGAAACAGGACTACTATCATATACCAATAAAAAACAAAATGGATTAAAAATTTGAATGTAAGACCCGAAATCATAAAATTCCTAGAAGAAAATACAGGTAATAAGTTCTTGAACTTATTGATTTTTTTTTGTTTTTGGATATAACTCCAAGGACAAAGTCAAAGCAAAAACAAACAAACAAACAAACATACTAAATACTGAATGGGAGAATGCAAATCATTTATCTGATAAGGATTAATATCCAAAATGTATAAAGAATTCTAAAACTCAATAAGAAAATAACAAAAATCCAGTTAAAAATTTGGCAGAGGACCTAAACAGACACTTTTACCAAGAAGATATACAGATGCCCAACAAATATATGAAAAGACGCTCAACTTCACTAGCTATAAGGGAAGTACAAATCGAAACCAAAATGAGATACTCTCTTGCATATGTTAGAATGACTATGATCAAAAAGGCAGGAAATAATAAGTGTCTGAGAGGATGTGGAGAAAAGGGCACCCTTATGCACTGTTGATAGGACTATAAACTGGCGCAACCTTTACAGAAAACATTTATTAAGCCCCTACTAGGCACAAAGTCTTTACATACAACATCTTGTTAAATACTTACTATTACCCTATGAAATAGGCACTTACCAAAGCCACAAGTTTGTAAGAAGTAGAGGCAGATTTTGAATTCAATCCAGTCTGACTGCAAATCTAGTGATTGTCTCAGTAAAGTATAGTGCAGAACTCTGTGGTGGTGGAATCCCTGACCTCAAAAGGCTTCCTATTTGGAAAGAAACAGGTAGAAAACAGAAGTTTTAGGAAGAAGTCAGTAAGTGGGACTCAATCAAAGACAATCAAATGTACTTGAATGGCAACTAGAAAACCTCTCCTCACTCCACCTTCAAAAATCATGTCATAATAGAAAAATCTTATTCTAATAGAGCACTGAACCAAAGACTGTCTCTCCTTTCTCTATAAAGTGCCCTCTTCTTTCAAAACCCTTCTAGTCTCTGCTGGAAGGAAAGTGATAGTAGCTGACTCCTTTACCATAGTAATGTCTGAATATACAGCCTCTGATTAGTTCTACAGGTGATCTGCTTTCTTCTGACGTGCTCAAAGCTCTCACCAAGTTTCAACATTCAGTCTACAAACATTAAGAGTCTGTGCTCCATCTTGGCTAGATGGCAGCCCCGGTGGGAGTAATGATGGATGAGATGGGAACTCAGACCTACTCATGCCAAGGAAAGGGTGTGTAGTAAGGTGGTTAGATTCTAACTCTGGGGTCATATCCCAAGCTGTGTGACCTTGGGCAAGTTACATACTCTCTCTGTGGCCTAGTTCTCTCTCTGGCAAAATGGGAACAACAGTAGCACCTACTTGAAAGGTTTCTGTGAGGATTAAATGACCCATATTCAGAGGTAGCAATAGGATGTGTATGCAATAGAAAAGAGCATAGGTTTGGTACTGAATAAAAGGAATGTATAAGTCCACACTGATACAAGTGAATACAAGTTTAAATAAAGAAATGTGGAAAAGTATAAATAAATAAAAAAAGGTAAAGGTCTTTTCAGAGTAGAAGGTAAACTAAAAGATGTAGAAAAAGATGGAATTAGACAACCACCATATTAATAAAACATTCAAGCAATAATTACCAACAGATGCTAAATCTGGCAGGTAAAATTGTGATGAGGAACGAGTTATAAATCTATGTATCTATATCTATCTATCAAGACTAAGAAATGTGGCAAAAAGGTGGTGGATCTGGCTAAAAGTTATTTGAGCATTTTGGGGTAATATTCTTTTAACTTTTTAAATTTGTCAAAATAAAAATTTGTCAAAATAAATTCTTTTTAAAAAGGAAGGAGAGAACTAGTAGGAGTAGTTGCGTAGTATGTCACATTGTAGCTTTTCTTATGATTACATGTTCAAAAATAAGTAAAGTTAAGAAATCTAAGATACCGCTTAATGGGGTGGGGAGAAGACAAAGCATGGGTTTGAATCTCATTTCTATTCCTTATCAGGTAAGTCTGTGACCAGGAACAAGTTCCTTAACCTCTCTGTGCCTCTGCGGTTTTTATACTTGTACCTACTGTAAAGGTTGCTATGGTGACTATATTAGTTTATACTTGTAAAGTGCTTAGCACTCATTGAGTATATTTATTACAATCATTTTTATTACACGTACAGTGTTTAGAGTCAGTAAACTCCAAATAAATGTCTGCCCTTATTATGATGATAACTGAGCTTAAAAGCCTTCAATAGCATTGCTTTGATGACCCCATGACTAGACCAGAGTTCACTGTTAGACGGCGTCAGCCCGGTGGGCCGGTCCTTTGAGCACTCACTGCAATGATTAACATTCGCTTGTCGGTCGGTTCACTGGCATCGTTTAAGCCCCATGACTGCGGGGCTCGGGATCCATTTTTGCTCAAAAACAACTGCATCCTGGGGTAGCACAGTGAGGTCACCAGGCTTCTGAATGCTAAGGTGAACTTGGAGTAGGTGTTGGGGGCCCGAAGTGTTGGACAGCAGCGCCCGCAGGCGGGGCACAGGCCGTGGAACCGCGCCCAGGTGCTAGCCCCGCGCACGCGGTCACAG